TAAAGACATTTAAAAAATGTTGATTTAAACAGAGTTTGACAATTGCAAACATTTTTCTTGCAGTTTGGATGTGGATAGTGAAGCTAAGAAACTTCTGGGTTTAGGACAGAAACATCTAGTGATGGGGGATATTCCAGCAGCTGTCAATGCATTCCAGGAAGCAGCCAGTCTTTTGTAAGTAGGGGAGAGAGAGAGAGAGAGAGAGAGTGTGTGTGTGTGTGTGTGTGCGCGCGCGCGCGCGTCCACCCCCCTTACAAAATAATATTATTAATGAACCTAGAGGTTTTTTTTTTTTAAAAAAAAACCAAACTGTTGTTCATGTAGTTTATTCATATTACTGTACCTGTAAAATCAAAATATCACTGAATCATTTATCTTTCTGGTCCCAAGATCACCCCATTATCATTAATTTGGGTTTATCATAAACCCCTCATTCCCTAAGCTGTCTGTAATAGTTGGTCATACTGCTATTGGTGGTATTATTAGAACTCTCCATTCTCCATATGGAGAGCTTCCTTTTCCTTCCCAACTTTACAGGTAATAAAGTAAACTTTGTGCATTATTTCTAAAAGCTGCCTGACCTTGACTTGAAGTTCTAGAGGGACTAGTGGGTTTTGTTTGTTTGATTTTGTTTTTTGGTAGGAGGGCTACTGGTTTTATTGAAGGATTGCTTTAATAGTGCTTACTTTGCATGTACTAAAATGTTATTTTCTAACAAATGAACTGGAAATAAATATTTTAGACTAGATGTTTATTCTCTTTGTTAGAGGTAAAAAGTATGGTGAAACAGCTAATGAATGTGGAGAAGCCTTCTTTTTCTATGGGAAATCACTTCTGGAGTTGGCAAGGTATGACTTTTATTAAAGTTTCAGCTGTGTGTCACATTCATGATCTGTGGAAAAAAGACAGCTTAAAGCAGCTTTATTAAGAGGGCTCCTGGGCAGGATTCCTTGATCTGAAGACTGACAGACAGATTGTGGAAAATCGCCTAGATTGATAATACTCTTAAAAAGGGCTAAATGGAAGATAATTTGAATATGCTATTATATGAACATATCTAGTAAATATCCTAAATGGTCATACTGTTAGGAAATGGTTTGAACTCTTCCCCTAATATCTACTGAACAAAGTAAACTATACTGAGGGCATAAAAACGAAAAAGAATCTATTCTATAACAGATTTTATAATCTTGTAAATCTTACGAACTCTTTTGATGCTTTTTCCCCTTTGTTTTCTTAGACTGGAGAATGGTGTGTTGGGAAATGCCCTAGAAGGTGTCCATGTGAATGAGGAGGAAGAAAAAGCAGAAGATGAATCTTTGGCAGAGAATAATGATAATGTAGATGGTATGTGTAATTGCATGTGGTACTCAAGAGAAGCTTCCTTCTGTGTTTCTTGTATATAAATGGAAATAGGCCCCTCCCTCCTGTGGACAGTCTTTCTTAAGTAGGATACCCCAGCATGACAACTGCATCTGATAAATATTGCCGTGGGGTTAGCCAACCACTGAAACTAACAACAGATTTAGTAAGAGGAAAATTTATTTTCTTAAACAAATCTGGCTATTTAAGCTGGTGTTTTAAATATCAATACAAGCATATTTTGCTAATACAAATTTTAAAAAGATGTAACTTAGTTGTATTAATAGTGAACTTCTCAATTTTTGTGCCCAAGAAAGTTAAATGTTAATTTCTATGGTGTTTGACTACTAAATATTTACATATTAGGTGGGCGGGATCTATAATACTGAGAGGAGAATGGAAAGCTTGGCAATTATTACCTAATTGATAATCACAGTGCTTAAGGATTATATGTTTCTCTTAGAAATAGGTTTCTCTATTAGCTAGTACTCTGTTTTCTCAAAAGGACAGATAATACTAAGGCCATCAGCTAATGCTTAACAAGCTGGGCTGTTTGAAATTTTAAAGGGAATGTATTTTTAGTTTCCATTTATGCCTTTATCATTAAACTCCAAGACATGTTTATGCTTCATGTTCTTTAACCATGTAGAGGAAGCAAGGGAAGAGTTGAGAGAACAGGTTTATGACGCGATGGGAGACAAAGAAGCCAAGAAAACAGAAAACAGATCCTTGATAAAGCTTGAAACTGATAAAGAACATGAGACTGAAATGGAAAAGAGTGGAAAAGAAGATACAGATTTATGTGAACCTGCAGAAGAGCTAGGAGAAAATTCAGAATCAACCCCAGATCAGTTCTCTCAAGTCACTAAAGAGGCAAAAGAAGCACCAGCACAAGAACGGAATGAATCTGAGGGCACTTCTGGGAAACCAGAAGAGCAAACATTAGATGGTGATAAAGGAAAAGCAGTGTCTACAACAGACACCAAGGAAACAGAGTGTAGAGGAAAAGAACAGGAGAAACAGGGAGAAGTACTTGAGACCATGGAGGAAAAGCCTAAACAAGCTTCAGAAGAACAATCTGTCATGACTATTCTGGAGGAAGAATCCACTGCAGTGAATATAGAAGCAGAGTCTGGAGAGGTCAAACTCAAACAGGTGGATTTGGGTGGGAAAGAGCCAAAGGAGCAGGTAGCCACAACTGAAAATGAACCAGCAAAGGCTGATCTTGAGGAGCATCTTGTAGACCAAGAAGTGCACCTTGCTGAGGAGTCACCAAAGATGAAAGAAGAGGTTGGATCAGAAGGCTTTGAAAAGCCTAAGCAGAACAAAACCTTAAAGGATGATGTAGTCAGTGACCTATCCGCAGGAGGAGACCAGACACTTACTGAATCCCAAACATCTGCAGAAAGAGAAACAAAAGATGGCTCAGGAATAGAGGAAAAGGTCAGGGCAGAACTGATTCCTAGCCAGGTGGAGACTAAACTGTCCATAGAAGATGAGGCAGCTGGAGATGGGGTAGAGACCAAGGGGGCTACTGAGAAGTCACCTGAAGACAAAGTTAAGATAACTGCTAATGAAGAGATACAAGACAAAGAAGAACAGATGAAAGAGGGTGAAGGTAACCGGGATATATGCAAGAGCTGCAGTGGGTGGAATACATTCTGGATTTAGCTCACTAATCATGGGTAAAAGTCAGCCTTCCATTCAGGATTTTCCGTCTGCCTTTGGATTAGGAAAGGGCTAAGTGAAAGGGGGGAATTGTATAAGAGGAGGTTTTTGAAAAGAGAAAATTAAGTAAAAAGTAGTAAGTCTTTAGCTGGCTTAAAAACTAACGCTTTTTTACTAACTGCAAAATAGGATTTTGTGGCAATTTTTGAGATTTGGCTAGTCATTAGTAACATACCATACTAGCCAATAAGATGGGAAAAGTAGATGAGGGGTGAGAAGCGTAAGGAAAGAGTATTACTAGGCTGGCAGAGAATGCTGAATGGATGTTCGCATGCATGCCTCTGGATTTTTCAATTTACTGTTCAATGGTTCTTTTTTTCTCTGCTTTAGTAACCAGGAACAGAGCAGCAGAATCCACTGAATTGGTATACTTAAGCCGGCATGCCATTTGAATGAGGCATTTTACCTGAAATATTTCAGCTCTGAGGTTTTTATAAATCTGATACCCCTTGCCTTCAGAAAATGTTTTAGAGACTTCCTCTTAGTTTTACGCTTTTAAAGATTAAAAGAAAAATTTAAAACAAACCCCTTAATTTACTATTATCCTTCTTACTGCCTTCCTCCTTCATTTCATGCTTGCTTTGGCAGCTGAATTTTTATTAGTTACAATGCTATATAGTAGCTTTGCATCGTGCTGTTATTCCTATCATGATTCAATTTCTTCAGTAAGCCTCAGATTAGTAATTTTGTAATTGGCAAGTCTGGCTTGTGTTATCATTTGAGGATTCTACTGTACAAGGTTCATCTTACATTTACCTTAATAACACTGAGTACATTTACCTTAATAACTCTAAGTATACTACTGTTATTCATTATTACATTGTATAACTGCCAGATTTATAGGAATTCTCTAGCTTAAGATTTCCATAGACTCCTCATTAATATTTGCAGCTCCTTCCAGTAACCTTCCTCTACCTATGTGCAAGTTCCTGTACTCCAGCCACCACAAGCATGGTAACCAAAAGTGAACTGATTGGCTCATTAGCCATTTTTCTGGAAACAGTAAATTTATCACTTTATTTTCTTAAGTGTCATACCTGGACTTATAGTAATATGCAAGAACATAATAAACCCTTATTGGCTAAAAGTTGAACTTTGAATGAGAAGTATAAACAGGTTATATTACCCCACAATTTAAAGAAAAAAATGTTTCCTGTTGATTTATTTATGTACCTTGCTTTTCATTCCAGAATAATAACCATGTTAAGTAAAAGTTATGATTGAGATTATATAGATGAGCAAATTGAAGCTTAGAGATAATATGACTTTTTTAGTGTAAAATAGTAAGACATAGTTCTAAGCTCTCATACTGAGCAAGGCAGCTTTAAACAGATACTAGATTTAATCTTGGCCAAAAGGCTGAGAAGGTGGTTTTAATCTGCTCCCTCTCTCTACTTTTCCCTGGAAATTTCATGATTACTGTTTTAAATCCATTTCAAAAATTCAAAGTACATTTTTTAGTGTTGTGTATCTGGTATTGTTTTCCATTATTTTCCAAATGAAGTAATGGCAGGAAGAGTTTGTCTTAGCCAGTAAAGGGGGTAGCATACCCATGTAATCTTCTGCCGAGTGTAGGCTCTTTTTTTGTGCTTTATCCGTCTTTGTAGGGCCATACCAGCTTGCTGAAAACTTCTGTAGATTTAGCAAATAATTTTATCTTCATGTAAAAATTAAAACACCATTTCCTACCATTTTGTATTTTTGTCATCTTGAGTTGACTCTATCTCTAATTAAAGACAATTTCCATGCTCTCTATGTAATTGTCACAGTTACATGTGATTGGTAAATTAATAGGATATTTAAATTATAGGGCATTTAAGCTTGATTACACTTAGATTGAGAATACTAGCCAGTATGCATTGGTTACTTGACTTTCTTTTTGGAATGTTAGAACTAAAGAATCAGCAGTTAATTTTTAAAGGTCTGTTCATTGCCTTTAACTTTTTTTTTAAGGAGTTTGTTTTGTTGTTTTTTGTTTGTTTTTAACTTCTATCCAAATACACCCTTTTCCTGATAAAACATAAAAGCATGCACATTGATGGACTTCAAGTAAATACAATTGAAACATTTTCCCCCCATTCTGCTATGACATTGGGTTCCACTATAATTGGTCCAGCTAAGGCACCACAGAGCCTGGAAAAGAGCAGCAGCTGGAAGAGTAGGAGTGGCAGGAAGAGCCTGGCCCCAAGGCCTCAAGCTCTGGGCAATGGCAGCAGGGGCATCTGGCACACTTGTCTTTAACTACCGGCTCTTGATCCATAGCCACCAATTGGCCCTCAGCTGAGCACTCACAGCTGCCTACACTTCATGGTCACTGCCATGACCACCGCCCAATATTACTCTCTAAAAGCCATTCTCTAGCTTTTACTACTGTGTCTATACTGTGCCAAAAATCAGAGACAAATATTCCTACTTCAGAGAACCTGGAAATATTTCCCCAGCATATTTAATATCAGGGTGTTCCCTCCCATTAACAAAGAAATTTTTTTGTTTTAATAACAACTTTATTGAGAATCTAGCTACCTGTTAACCGTTCCATTAAGGTAGTACAGGCTCCTCAAGAGAGACTAATACTTAAAAAATTTTATATTTTACAGCAAATTTGATGTAGTTTCTAACATCTTAGTATAATATATATAGGGTCAGACCAAATAATTAAGATGCACATCAAATTATAACTCAATATTTTTTTCTATTTCATTTTTCCTTTACGACAGTTACTGTTTTTATCTTTAGTCTATTATAAAAGATACCAAATTTCATTAACTTGTACACTCATCAAATGATTTGCTCCATTGTCAATAAAATTACCCAGTCTAGTCTAAATTTGGATCCATGTCTGCACACTGCTTGTGTGAATTTGGACATGAAAAGACAAAGTGATGATAGCTGTTTATATTTTAGAAGTTCTGAATTACTATTCAAAGGAAGGAAAGGACTTGTTATTGAGGTTGTAGTTGTTTAGCTGGGTCTTTTAGAACTTAATTTGTTGTTTCAATTTGTAATAACAGGAATTAGTTCTTTTTGCCTGCTCCTCATAAAACAGTGTTCATATTAAAAAGTCCTTGAGCTTAGCTTCATAGTACAAGACCTACTTGCCATATTTTATTTCTATTTACATAGTTAACGAGACAGTATTGAGTTCTTTTCTCATAAAATGCTTACGAACAACTCTTATATTGTTTGTAATAATAAAAAGTTCCTTTTAATCACATATGATTAAAACTTAAAGTTGTTGAATCATTTAAAGATTTATCATCACTTAAGTGCTGAGCAATTTATTGGCGGCCTGTCGCAACCATTTGATTAGGAGGTGTAGTCAAAATATGGTATTGATATGGCTAAGTTTAAAACAACTCGCTAGACACTTCAACACCTTTACGTGCTAAGAGCTGGCTGGAGTATGTGGCATGCTCATTGGTAAGAATTGGTAAGACTGCTTGACTTTAGAGCCCTGTGTGGGAAAGTTACTCAAAGTATTCAAAGTATTTTTGCTCTTTAATGGATTGAGGTACTTTTAACTATTAACAATTTCTCAACCTATCAGTAAGTGTAGTTAAAAGACACCAGAAATATTTGCTGAGATTGCCTTGCTTCTGACTTTCTGACTAGGTAGGCACCAAGCTTTGAGCTCATGAATAAGGAGCAGTAGTAGCCAGTTGTCTTGATCTAAATGATTCAGATTCACTTTTATTGTGAGAAATGTTAGGAATTAGTTCTCTAAATCTGTATTAATAAATTCCAAATCTAAATTAGACTTGAATTAGACTAACTACTGACCTTGATCCAGTTCAGATGTTAATTGACTTTGAATAAGAGGTGTGATCTATCCTACGTTGGATTATTGACAGATATTTGGCTAGTGAAAATAAGTATCTTTACAATGCTGAAGGATTTTTGCTTGCAGAAACTGAAGGCTCAGAAGAGGAGGATAAAGAAGAAAATGACAAGGCTGAAGATATGCCAAATGATTCAGTACTTGAAAATAAGGTAAGCTAGTCAGTACCATTGTCTGCTTCCTTATGGGAGAACTGTAAGTTACTAGTGTGACTATTATAGATAGCTGTTTCTTGGTTACAGATTGGGGATTCTTTATCCATGGTTACAATGGACAGATCCATTTGATCCCAGAGGGTCTTATCTGATAGGGCAGATTTACATCTCACTTATGTGCAGTGATGGTAAGATGATGATTTAGTATAGAAGTTTTGTAGGGAATTTGGAATGTAAAAAGTATGAAATTTAAATCCTGTATTACGGATTTTTTTTAAAAAAAAACCTATTGATTACATGTTTGGGTTTGTATAATCTAAAAGTGTCTTTCTTATACCAATACTCGGAATTTTATTATCTTTCAGTCTCTTCAAGAAAATGAAGAAGAGGAGATTGGAAACCTAGAGCTTGCCTGGGACATGCTGGATTTAGCAAAGATAATTTTTAAAAGGTAAAAACCCTTAGTCTTTTTAAGCTCAGGTGGGAGTTTGGTAGTTAAAAAAATAGAAACAAGTTAAAGTGAATTGATAAACTATTAAGTGATCCAACACCTTAAAATTTTAATTATCTTAAGTGATTAAAACTTTTCTTATTTTAGGCAAGAAACAAAAGAAGCTCAGCTTTATGCTGCACAGGCACATCTTAAACTTGGAGAAGTTAGTGTTGAATCTGGTAATAACATTTAAAAACTTCCCTTTTCTAATTTTCTTTCCCATCTGTGTATGTGTTCTAATAAATCTTTAATGATCCTAAACTATGGGCTTCGAAAGACTAGGGTTTCTGGTGGCCTAGTGGCAAAAAGCTGCACTGCAATCCCAGAAGCGCGTGGTTCAATCCACCAGATGCTCTGCTGGAGAAGGAGGGGCAATGTCCTCCTCCTGGACCAGTCAGATCTGATTTGACGGTACACACACATGAAATAAACATAAAAATAAACTTTAAAAAAACCAAAAAATTGAAAAGTTTCAAAGGTAGCTTTGCTGCTATCTTTACTGCTTTTAACTTGTTTTTGTCTGAATTAAGTATCTTGAAGATGATACAAAGGAAAATGAAATGGAAATTGTGGGATCATTCTCACAAAATGGGTCTGAAAATGGGGGAGTACTTTCTATTAAATGTTCTTATCTACTTGCTGTTCCTTTTTTCTGCTCCCCCCACCCCCTAGAGAATTACACGCAGGCTGTGGAGGAGTTTCAGGCTTGCCTGAACCTGCAAGAACAGTATCTAGAAGCTCACGACCGTCTCCTAGCAGAGACTCATTATCAACTAGGCTTGGCCTATGGATACAATTCTCAGTATGATGAAGCAGTAGCACAGTTCAGCAAATCCATTGAAGTCATTGAGAAGAGAATGGGTGAGTGAGCTTCTAGACATTTCATGATCTTCATGGATTTCAGCCACTGCCCAGGTAAAAAAGAGAAAAAGGATCTTTTTGTGGTAACTGGTACTGATCACTGTAGTATGTTCTTTGTAGCTGTACTAAATGAGCAGAAGAAGGATGCCAGAGGATCACCTACTGAATATGAGAAAGAAATTGAAGAGTTAAAAGAATTGCTACCTGAAATTAAAGAGAAGATAGAAGATGCAAAGGAGTCCCAACGTAGTGGGAATGTAGCTGAATTGGCTTTGAAAGCTACTCTGGTTGGTTCAATTTACTGTTAATGTTTTGTTAATGGCATGTTTGGTACCATCAGAAGCGCTGTGCTGTTTTTGCTGGAACTGTATAATGACTTGGATTCTAGATACTGTTCTTTTATAGGTTAGTGGGGTGTTTTTAACTATCAGTTACTTTTGTCTGCTGAGACATTGAAATGCTTTTATCGAGCAGGTAATGATAAGTAACGATGGTTTAATATTTATAGTCTACCTTTGCTGGGGATTGAAGTAGGTTAAAAATCAGCTCTGTGAAGGCCATTGAGTAGCATTTCAGGTCTTTTACCAGTTGGTTGGATGGTGGGTTCCCTTGTAGGACTATGGGTAGTCTAGGTTCTATTCCTGGGACCCACTTGGGTTTGTCATCTCTCACAGGTGGAGAGTTCCACTTCAGGTTTCACTTCTAGTGGAGGAGGCTCTTCAGTCTCCATGGTGGGTATTCACTTAACATTAGGCCTCAAGTAAATATTTTTCTTATGTGTAGTTTGTCTATTGCTAACAAAAACATCTTTTTTGGCAGATTGCCAGTCGAAAGTCAACAGAAGGTGGTGCTACTTCTTCAAATTGTGTGACTGATATTTCCCACTTGGTCAGGAAGAAGGTAAAATAATACAGTGACGGTTTTGTTGCCCTTTTCTCAGTTTGTCATTTTTTGCTGGATCCCAGGTGATGAGTTTCATTCTTTAAGCTGCAGTAGTAGTGGTGTGGTATTTCCCTAAATACTTTATTTACTACATGCCACTGCGTTTAACAAGTCCTGGTGGCTGTCCTGGTTTCTTTTCTAGTTGTTCAGCAACACACTTGGTTTTGCCTAAACTCCTATGATGAGTTTGCCTTCTATTATAATAGTCCCTTCTCCTTGTGGAGAGTCTTAAAGGTCCTGCTTGGTTTCCTGATTGAAGTATAAGAATTTCATTATTGTTCTTTACTCTCATCAGAATTTTTTTAGTTACAGTTTGATTTGGTATGTATTTGCATGGATTGATGTATTCTGTGGCATTCAAATTATCATCTGTGTCTCTTTCCTATTGTTATTAGTAGAAAAGCTATTTATCTATAAAGCTTGGTGTTCAGGCTCTTTGCACCAAAGAAGTTAAAGAAATTTTTTGCACTTTTGAAAACTTAAGTACATTTGTGAATCCTTCAAAATTACATCTTTAGAGGAAACAAGAGGAAGAGAGCCCCCGGAAAGATGATGCAAAGAAAGCCAAACAAGAACCAGAGATGAATGGAGGCAGTGGAGAAGCAGTCCCTGGTGGAAATGAAGTTTCAGAAAACATGGAGGAGGTGGGCAGTTAGGCTGGGCTTCCTGTTTCAGTCTTATTCTTGGGACTTGGGGAAACCCATCCTCCTGAGTGCATACTCCCTATCTTGAGCCTTCTTGGATTGCTTATATATAATCTTCATAAGACAGGACAACAGGACGTCTCTTAGACATGAAACCAGTGCACCACAGGTCGCACTCTAATGAATTTCTGCTTGATTGAGTCACTTCTGACTTTTTTCCAAGCAGTATATGAATGCTGGCCCTTACAGTAATTTGTTGGTTAACTCCAGCCCCAAAATACAAGGAAATTGCCTTCTGCTTGATTATATTGCTCTTTAACTGTAAAGCAGAGATTGCAGATTAGTGTTCACTTCCAACTGAGGAATGATTTAATATATAAAATTGAATTACTTGAAGCAAGGTCACTTATGCCTAGGCTCCCTGTTTGTCTTTCAGGCTGAGAATCAGGCTGAAAGTCGAGCAGCTGTGGAGGAGACAGTGGAGGCTGGAGCTACAGTTGAAAGCACTGCATGATAAAGGCTGTTCAGA